AAACGCATATCAATTGCATTGTATCTTGTTCTCATTGCATTCCGATTAAGGTGTTTGGAGATAATTTTTGGCGGTTTTGATCATGTGACATAAGTAACAAATAAGGTAGAAGCTCGTAGAAACTCCGAGCAAGTGGCCGCATGTCCTCTGCGTGAAAAGACGAGAAGGCAATGTGGTCACGATCTTGCCCTCTTGCCTCAGTGCTTTTCGACTCCAAAGGCATCCTGTCATAGAAAACATCGACTCTGACTGGCTAGACGGCAATTAGGCTTCAAATTAATAAACAGTTCTTAGTGTCACGGCCTCAGTCACGGGGAGACTTGAACCTTGTGGAATAGGCAAAGACTTAGATTCTAAGCTGAAGAGAAAAGGAAGAAGTGAGTGCTACATGAAACGAACCCCTTAAATACCCCCGACTGCTTCACCCTTTTTCACGTGACCTGACCGTCTGGCATCTGGCCGTATTATTATTATTATTATTATCCTCCGCAATGGCTAAGCCGCGGTACTTCTATACAATAATATCCTATATACAAAGGCTAACGCAACCTCTCGGAAGAATCCTCACTGATATGCATACCCCCTTGTAATACAGGCAAATAATCGGGAGGCCTAGGTAAACTCGTCCAGTGGCAACTCTGAACCAAACTTCCTCCTTCTCCCTGGGATCAGACCACTGTCCCTGCCTCTGGTGTCCAGCCCTGTCTCTCACTCAGTTCTGTTCCTAGACGGCCTCTGGGGGCTGGTCGCTTCGCTACTTGATTGGTCGCGGTTGTAGGGCCCTATCACCCTAGTCTCAAGCTCTTTGGTCGCGTATCAATGATTTGGTCTTCGTCGTTTCTAGAGGCTCACCCCTCTAGAAAGGTAGGGTTTTGCCCAGGTTCTCGGTTAGGCGACCGCTGCTGTGGTATCCGGGAGCAGAAGCCGGGGCCAAGGTTCTCGGTTAGGCAAAAACCGCTGCTGTGATAACCGGGAGCAGAATCCGGGTTCAAGCTAGGCCTAGGGGGAGCAGTCCTAGGTGAACCAGCTAGTCATCTTCTGGAAGGCAACAGAAGAGGTGCCTAGAGCTGGATTCGAACCAACATCCCTCACATCACAGGTTTAAATAGGGTGGGCGAGACCTATTAGGTTCGATGATGACTTTTGGGACCCAGGCGCACGACCACTGCGCCATCCGGGCATCTGGCCGTAACACTTAGGGAAAGTATTTCAAACTGCTATCTTTTTAAACGGATTCTCTAGACAACGCACACGTTATACGCGGTTTCTAAAACTATTAGTTTAGTCTCAAACCTTTCTTTTAACGAAAGGTTCGATTAAAATATATTAGAAAAAAGGATAGAAGGAGATTACTAGCGACCCATAGCCATTGAAAATTCGTCATACCTCTTAATTTGGATACCCACTAGCGACCTCGTGTTCAACGCACATACGACGAGATTGTTCTCGTATTTCAATGAGACAGAATAATACGTGTATAGGGCTGAGATCCGCTCCCGTGCTAGTCTTATACACGGATCATACCGAAATTAAGACGCTTATCGTTATCTTTGTGCGAACTTAAAACTTAAGGGTGATCTGCATCAATATATTGATCACTAGCGTATTCGAAATCAATATACAGGTTGACTCTCTGTAGTGCTCCACTTTAAATTACAAACTTTCTCAAGTCTACTAGCAGTAATCAGGCATAGCACCAAACGGAGGGTATATCAGTACAGTACCTACCTTGTCCAGTAATCGTTGTATCAACAAGTTTTGTTAAACCTGGACCGACCCAATTTCCATACAAAATGAAGACAGTTCTTCCATTTTCCCTTTTTATCATCAGCTATCTAACTCGACAAGCCCAGGCCGTGGTGGTCAGCGACTGCCACCTTTATCCTGGAGCTGTTGCGTCAGACTGCCTCACTCTTATTGGAAATCACTTCAACAACGACACAAGCTTTGGTGCTGATAGCAACGTTATATTAACTCTCGGAGGGTGCAGCATTGTCACAAAAGCGACAGCCGGTGGAAATGTCCAAACCAATTACGACACTGTCGTGAGGGGGGCTTTGACTACAATTGGTGCCTGTGCATTCCACGATGTAGGATCGATATCAGGGGCGTACACAAGTGATGATGGGGTCAAAACCTGCTATTTGTACCCTGGCCAGTACGTAAATACTACCCCTCTTACAATCTTCCAAGATACTAACTCGGTATCCAGGGAGGGCGCATGTTAATGATAGCACCACTTATTAGGTTCGGCACTGATGCTTTGCCAGTTGCAGAGCTTACTGGTATGCCTATTCGCTACTGGCTGTTCGAGACTTCCGTGCAGCATGCGGCCTATGAATTCCGCACCTTGGGATCCAGAGACTCGATACAATTTGATGTAGTGTTCTACCCTCTGACCAGCTATTTAAAAAAGTGTATAGCGCTGCCCTAGATTTTTGCTGAAGGAAACTTTTCGTCTCTTTGAATGTCATCTTATTTTGTCAGGTATATATTGAAGTACAGCTTGGTATAATGAGGCCATTCTATCCAATGTTATTAGCTGTGATAACATTTGTGTGAATCGACGGCGCCCTACTGCACAGATTTGAAATGGTTTCGCCGACTACCCCGCTTCAATGATATCTGATAATGAAATATGCCAAACATACTCCATAACAGAATAATGTATAGATGGAGCTCTCTTTACGTGGAAAGTTACCTGGATTGGGCAACCCTGCGTGAAAACGGTTGCTAAGACTCGATCCTTGAGTTCCCCTCCGACTCTATCGTTAGAACGCATTTGCATCTCTGAGAAATCCACGACCCTTTCCATAGTCCATATGTCGATTTCAGAAGTTGGTAATTCTGTGATGATGCCACACCGCAACTCTTGAATATTACCAGTAGAACCAAACGGGACTAAAAATTGGGCCCTCTGTCGACCTTTATTCCATTCACAAGATTGCTCCGAAAAGCCGATGAGTTCCTTCGATATCAAATTCAAATACTTGACGGGATCCAAGTGCTCCTACGGTACTTTTGGATGGCCATACTTTTGTAGCAGTGAGTCGGTTTGGAAAGAAAGTGCATGTAATACCCTATTGGTTCCATACAGGTATCCAGGACTCATCATGTTGGACGACATATAGATTAGTGGGAATAAAGTTATTGCGTTCTTCCGCTGCCACAAGTACTTAGCGACGCGGGATCACACCTCTCTACACGAGAAGCTTTTCCATCTATCTCCCTCAGCACGGAACAAAGGCATGCGGATGAAATTTACTCGCAATCTGCCATTGTACATTTATAATCGACCCATGTTGAAGCTTCCATAACTTGGCAACGTGTGTTGGGATTCTAAAGCTCTCTTCGAATAAGTTGAAGTGGTATGATCCAGCAATTGAATCTCTTTATCGAGGAATGAATGTAACACGCATTGGCCCCGAATTAAGACAGTTATCTAGATTCCGTAGTCTTCTGTAAAGGCAGGGATCTCTGCCAATGGTTTTGTGTCCAGGCCTCCAAGACTGAAGCGGGTCAGATCTGTTTAGACCGTGTGCCCAGTTCACAGTTGGTAGCTCGTGAAAGCTAAGTTCCTGATATTGAGGTAATCTAAGTGAACCAAATATTGAGTAGCAAACAGACTCAGTTACAAGGACTTGACTAACTGGAACAATTTCTTTATATCTTGACAAGCAAATAAAGAATGTTTTTGATCCTTCTTCTTTCATAGCAACATAGAGTGCTTTTTCAGGCTCTTTGTCCCTGTGAGTCTGGCGCAGGTGGTTTCCCATAATTCTCTGTTGGATGCCGCCTTTCCCATACGAACTCCCAATATATATGCGCGCTTCACCGCAAGCGCGTAAAACAATTCCGGCATATACCCCTTGATTAGGTGTGCGAATTGGTCTTTGTAGAGGTAAAACTACTTGCGTTAGCACCACTTAAGCGGAGTAATGATTAGACATACTTAACGTCCACGAAGTTATTACTTAATCCATTAATACAGGTTGGGAAGTCTTCATCTAGCGATTCTGCCACTAACGAGTCTATTTGACTCTGGGCCACGGCTCGTATATGTTCTTTAACATCTGTGCAAGCCCCAATTTCGCCATTTGTTACCTTCAGGCAAATTTGAAGAGCTGTTGCTCTTAAAGCTAGGTGGGCTCTAGCTCTATCAAAGGCGAACTCGCCATTGTGATTGCTGCTCATTTTTGTTGGTATCTCTCTGTGGGATGTTGTTCAATGATTGATTGGTCTCAGTAAAATAGACAGTCGCGTAGTAGTAAATATTCTCCTCCGGATTATGCCTCTGCTTATATTGTTCCATTGTGACACCGCAATTGGTCATACAGATCTTTTACTGATAATAAAGCCGTGCAAAACTCAATGCTTATAAGCAAACAACCGAAGCTCTCGAATAGTCTCTCTATCGCAAAAGAGACAAGGCCGCGAATCCCCTTCCTACAAAAAGAGGAAAGAAGGCAATTAAATACAATAGTTATAATAATTATTTACTACAAGTAAAACAAAAAGTCGTACAGTAATTACTTTTAAAAATACTTGTTACGTCACGGAGACAACCAACCAACAAGGCACAGGCAGCGGGTGCGCAAAACAAGCTGTATTGACGAGAATGCTAGACTAAAAAGAGAAGAAGGAGAAGAAGAAGAAGAAACAGCTTCAGCTAAGCAAGGAATAACTCTTATTAAGGTGCCTTCACGTATCGGATCAGATATTTAGTGGTTACGCAACTGAGCCTGGAAAATCAATGTCCGTTTTCCATTTCGCTTGCTAGTTGATGTTTGAATTAATGCCACGAGCCACTACTAGCCCTTGATCGATATGCGACAAGTCTGCTCTACATATTATATAAGAATGTCTTATATAATATTCAGTACCTAGAGGAAGGTACTATGATAGGATCAGGCACGGAGTACAAGTAACTTATGATTAAAGGTTATAAATCAAAATAAGCAATTTGGAAACAAAAGCACATCATAGATGTGTAAGTTCCACCCTCGGTCGTCTAGTTGGTTTATGGCGTCCGGCTGTAATTGTTCAGTCTTACCGGAATGGTTAGTCCTACCAACAAAATTGCCCTCAGCCGATTGCTAACAATCGTCCAGTCGCGCGTTCGACTCGCGCCTGAGGGAACATCTTCACAACTTTTTTTTTGGCTTTTATCAGTAGCCTACTTGTGTCCCAGAGTTAAAACTTTTTTTTGTTACTCGGCTGCTCGGCTAGCATTCTATTATCGGTAGAACGAGTTTTCCTGCACCCCACCCTGTGAAGAATCGCTTACATAACCAGCATCTGACGTAACTTATCACCTGACGTAGTGGTGATCTATTGACGTACACTCTGATGTATGTCTACAGTAAGATACGAAACCAGCTTCAGTCAAACACTCTCTGATTTTATAATTTGCAGAGAATCTTCATCTGTGCTAGTATCAATACAGTTAGTTAATTTCTTAGCAGCCTGTCTTAGTGAAACTAGGTTATAGTATAATCTCCTGTAACCCCTTCTCTCTAGAGCTCCAAACAAAGTTATATAAATAACCGTGATCAGCCCTTCCATATATCTTATATCCCTGGCTAATAGGCGTATTTGGCATCTTATATATATGTAAAGACCTAGTATAATTAGTAAGGGTTCATTAATTAAAGGCATTTCAGGGCTTACTTACCTTCTAGAACACCGTACTATTATTTCATCAATACTAACCTCAGAAGAAGGGGTACTGAGAGGAGACTTGAATATCAGAAGCTAAGGGCTCTAGCTTATACCACCACCTCTTATTAGTAGGTAAGTCATAGCCAGCTCTAATATCATTTTCAGAACAAGATATATGGCAATATCCCTTAATCTGCTCAAAGCGGCAGAGGGATATAGTGTCAAGAGAGGAGATTTCTGAACGCCTGTATCTTACAATAGTGTTAAATGAAAGAAAAGCAAAACTGCTCCAACTCCTCGGCCTATATCAACAAAGACAAGAAAGTCATGCTGTACAAGCAGCCCGCACCACTAAGCACCTACTATTCAAAAACTATTGCCTTATTCTCCTTTCCTATCTTGCGTCTGATATCCGTGTTGACTAGTTGCACTGACATCTATTTCGGCGGAATATTTCTGGAGTAGCCTTTACCATTATTGAAGTATATACTTCCGTCTTTATTGTGGTAGCTGTATGCCCCATCTCTACTCTCATTATCTCGTCAGCACTGGGCTACTACTCCAGAAGCCGGGGAGGCTCGCCTTCCAGCACAATATTGATTGCTCCTATCAGTTTCTTGCTATCAGCTCTCCAAAAATTTCAGGACGGAACAAGTAACTAAGAAAGATGAAGAAATGTATACTAACATTTCATTTGTTCTGCGGCTCATGATTGGAGAGTGTGGAGTGGGGAAGGAAGTCAAGCTATGGAAACTGTGTGTGCTTCTTCTGCCGACCCCTGCTGTGTTCGAGAAGGATGTTCTTATCCTAGAAGCCACGTGCTTGGGCTACATCTTGTTGCTTTTCAGACAATGGTTTTGTGTTGCTATGCTTGGGTATGAATACTCGTGAACGAGATCTCTGGAAGACTTAATGCGATAAATATTACTATCACAACTCTTATATAGGTTGAGTTTTAACACTAACGCCGATAGTTTGCCCATCTCATGGGAAAACATGTATATCAGGGGGCTGGGCCAACCATATTCAGTTGTACCATTCAAGGCCATCTGCTCATAGCCTTTGAAACGGGCGTCTTCCAATATAACCGTTATTAACCAACCAAGCAGTTAGTGTGTCTTCGTCTCTTCCTTTTTAACCCCTGCGTTTTTGCCTTGAGAATACTGCTGCTACCATTCAGTTGCCATCGGATATACGCTGTTTACCACCTCTTCCAAAGATAGATGCTATCTACTCAGAGACTATGAGTCTCTTTCGGATATTCCAATAGCTAAATTCCAAGCCAGAATGAAGACTTGTCGATGCTACCGAGCCTCCCCTTCTGGCAATGGAATAGGTCAAGTTGAGGCCCTGAAAGTGGCCGAAAATGGACAGTTAGTCTGCCAGAGAACGAATGTGATTGCACGGAGTCTTATTAGTATCAGTAACCTTGGTCTCACTCTATTGCATCTGCTAGGTTCTCAGATATTGATCCAATTACTCTATTCGACAATCACTACTCCGTTAGAGTACACCAGAAAGCCTATTCCGCACCACTTATTCTGTGTCAACTTGACCCTCAATGAGAGACTCTAGTTCACGGCCCCCCTAACTGGGCTACAGAAGAGATTGGAGAGATCCAGGACTGGTTACGCTGGGGCGAACGGGAGCAAAAGAGGATTGATGAACTAGTTAAAATAGAGCTTGTTCAAGCAGGAGGGTATGGTATAGTTAGGCGGCAACGGCGACGAGAGTAATGGGATCGAATTGCAGGCCAAGTACATGCTAAGGACGAGAAATACAGGTTTGGTTGTTAAAACGAGGGGCAGCTTTGACCATACTGTGTTCAACTTCATGCAACGTCATCCAATCCTGCACGACACTGTAATCTGACAGACTAGACAAATCTCAGGGTACTGCACCATACCACTACCAGGAGGTGATCTGAATGTTAGCACCATCGCCTAGGCATCCAAGAAGACGTTGACTAATTGCGAGAATTGATTCGAATACTGGTCCACGAACCCATGTCCAACATCCGGAAACAGGGCAAGGTGAGCGACCGCGTTGGTAAGCTTCTTCTTAAACATCGTCCAGCTGTTGACTGTGGGGACCAGAATGTCGCTATCGCCATCCGCAACAAGGACGGGAATTTTCAGTTCGTGTAGCCGGTTATAGGAGCCTTCAGAGGCCAAGTCACGACTCTCCCACCTAGCTAATGCCCCGAGCTGGGCTTTCGTACCCGCAGGGCCAACGTAGTCGGAGCGATTTGGCCGGGCAGTAGTCATACGCTCCCACCACTCCTCGCCCAAGGCCTGATCGCGCGGTGTCAGAGAGAAAAAGGTTGACAAATATGCATGGTGTTGTTGTATAAAGGGTAGCTTGTTGCCTGTCCCATCCTGAGCTAGTTTGTTTGACAAATACAGTCCTGATACCTTTAGTATCATAGGTCTTATTATTAAGGAACTCAAAGGATATTGGTGTTTGATCCACATTAGCGATCTCTAAGAGCTCAAAGTTAAATTTTGCTTGAGCACGTCGATTGAACTGTAGCCAGGAAGTGATTTTATTCTTATAGTCTCCTGGCACAGTCTGTGCTCTTTTAGTCGGCTCATGCAGACTAAGCTGCTTCCTCTTTAAAAAGCCAGTAAACCAGCCAGTTGAGAATGCCATGCCACTAAAGACTGTCACAGCACGAGCAAAGAGGCCTCAGGGTGGAAGCATAATGTCGATTTGTAAACTTAGAATACAAAACTAAAGAGAGAAGGTCTAGGTTGACGTACAGGAGACGTTCTTATACTCTACCGCCGTCACGTGTATATAGTATCACGTGGACCATGCAGTCTCTCTAGAGCTGTGGCAAAGACCTTCTTCTTCTCGACTATCGGATACCCTCTCTGGCCACAATCTCTCAAACTCGACTCTAGCATAACGCCAAATCCAATTCTTTCCAACCCTCCTTCCGAACTGCCTTTTCTCTAATATCAATGCATATAATCGATTCTCTAGAACTGGGAACTGAGCAGGGTGAGAGAGCTTGCCATTCCTTGACCCCTTCCATAGAGAGCGTGTCTGATCAACATTTTTCTTCCAATCACGTAGCTGGACTGGCTTTAGATCCAGGTCCCTGCATGCCTGTTTATATGATATAAGGACCATTTCTTTTGTCTTTGAATGCCATACCCGCTTAGTCGTAGCATATCCAGTAGCAGCTAGCTTTTGTTCTCAAGTATAGTACCGTCAACGTATATCATGGCTATCAGAGTCGGAGTCTAATTCAGTAGAAATATTAGATTTGAACTGAGCTAGTAGGCTGTCTGTCGTAGTCATTGTAATAGTATCATGGCGTGCAAGCTGAAGGGCATAAAGGGATCGACGTTTAGCTAAAGGCTTAAGCTTTGGGCCAGGTCTAGGAGCTAGAAAGCTGGATTGAGGGTGGAAGGAGGGATAGGTGTTGAGGCTTGAGCAGCAATCATGAATGGATTCGACATATTGGTGGATTTGAAAAAAAAAGTGGGTATATTGTAGGATGTAGTACCGGAAAAGTGGGCAAACGCGCCTGAAATATAGCTAGAATCGACGCTTTTGATTGGCGGATAAGTGATTATTAATTACTATCCATGAATCTGGCTTATAAGTCCCCTTTTCTATAAGTCCCCCTCTAGAGAAGGTCATTTGCCTCGCACGGGCCAAATTGGGGGGACTTATTGCCAGTTTATACGGTAATGGGTGCGTCAACATCAACTAAGGCTTTTGATATAGTCTCCATTCTAGCGGCTTGACTTCACTAGCGCTGCATGCAACTTGTGCCGCGCTGTTATTGCATGTGCGAAGTAGCTCCGGGCAATTACGCCAGACGTTGATAATAGCAAGGAAAGCACTCGCCACATTCCCATGTATTCGTCCCATTATCCAAATGAGGTAATTTTCGCTACTGCCTGGCGCCAATGGCGCTGGCGAGATTTCATCATCGTGCAGATCAGTTCCCCATACCGTGTGGCTCGTGGGAGACAAATGACTTGTCTAGATAATTTACCAACGGATTATTTGTCTGTGCGCCATACAATATTTATTGAGGCGAGACAACGACCTGTTGCTAGGATGGTACTATATGACGGGTTGTATTATAGCGAAGGGGGCTCTTATATGCTAGTTTATACGGTAGTTCGTGAGCTCACGAGTCTTTCTATACGATGTAGCACAAGACCCATAAGATCGCACTGTGGAATTTCTAAGCCCTTTTCTACTGGCGAATTGATGTAGTATATAAATGAATACTGGCTATATCAGTTGTAGGAAGGCAAGCCGTTACTCACTTACAGTTTAGGACAGAGCAATTCTGCCAGACTTTAGATATCAAATGACAAGATATGGCGTATATCATGGCCCAACTTATAACTAAGAATTATTAGAAATCAAAATATTAATCGTTGATCTCGTTTCGTTAGCATTCATACACTGCATCAAAAGTAGGTGGATTTAGCTGGACCCTTGTAAA